ACAGTAAAGAAAGCAAGGAAATGCAGTTCAAAGAAAGTCCTAGTCCAATCAAATCAGCTTCAATGGCACACAAACCCAACCAACTGGCACTAACAACCGAACCACCACCGCTATAAACACATCCAACTCTTTTTGCTACCTCTCTCTCTTCCTCTAGAGTATGATGCTCTCTCCATACCTTTTTTATGTTTATCAAATAAGGGGGAGAAATATAACGCTAAACACTAATAGGTTATTACAATAAGGGGGAGAAATAAGTTATTGCATTTAGGGGGAGTACATCATTCATTTGTGTTGAACTATTTATTTGTTGAAATATAAAATATATATTTTGTTCTTACAAATCATCTACAGGTCTACTCTAATAAAAAAAATTGTTTTACTCCATTATGATGATTACATCTTACTCTCATATACATATGTTTTGTACAAATCATTTATAACTTAAGTCTGATATATATGCTCTGATACACATATGAACATTTATGCTCTGATACATATAGGTTTTGCATAAATAGTTTATGACTTATAGAAGTCATATATCATTCATGATTGATCTTGAATAACATTCTAATGTTTTGATACTATAAAGGACATTGCTTTGATGGTTTTGAATTATATGTTGTAATACTTGGTAAAGAAAAATTGATCATATATCTCAAACTCCTTTGATGCATACCAAAAAATATACTTCTATTAGTTTCTTATTTTGTTTGCTATGATACATATATGCTCTAATACATGGACTATTAGTCATATCAACTCAGATATAAAAATCATACAGCACACTATTTATGTCACTCTTTTTTTTAAAAACCATTATAGATATATTTAAATAACATAAGTACATTTCTATGAGTAAGTAATATAAAATATAATTAAACTTAATCTTGGTTAAAAATATTTATTAAAAAGTATTCATTTTAATAAAAATATTTGTTAAGGATTATATACAATTTAAATTTGTTTGACTTTGAGGAGGAAAAAATGGTTTAATTTTTAAAAAAATTAAGACTCAATTGAGAACAAAATAAAACTACAGGGAGTCAAGGATCAAATCGCAACATAATAAAAATACAGGGACCAAATTGAGACTAATGCAAGGACACGTGGCCTGACAATGACATGTGGCACTGTTAGTGCCATGTCACACTGCCATTGCCACGTGGCACACTATCAGTTTGACACGTGGCATTTTTAACTTTTACTTTAAAAAAATAAAAATAAAATAAAAATGAAAAATAAAAATAATAAAAATATAATTAAAAAATTCAAAAAAATCACGAACTGAAACGTGTCACCTCCTTTAACGGTGTTAGTATGAAACTAACGGTAAGGTCTAAATTGATTCAATTTTTCACAATAAGGAACCTAATCGAGAACATTTACAATACGAGGACCTACTTGAGACGATCCTACAGAAATAAGGATGTTCGAAATGATTAAACCTTATAATTATGTGTTTGGAGGTTGTATTATGGTTTAAATGGTGATCTTAAAGTGGTTGGAGTAATGGAGGGTGAATTACTTGAGTTTCAAGCTTAAAAGAGGGGTTTTGGTGAGTGAAATTGAGAATTTGGTATTAGAGTGAGATGTGAATTGGTCTAGCACTGTTATGTGATTAATTAGAACTTGTTAGAAGAGTTAGATGGTTGAAAATTGATATGGAGCAAAGATTATGGTTCATTGTTGAAGTTTGAAAGTGTTCTGAAGGAAAAAAGAGGTTTTAGGTAGTGAAATGATGAGAGAAGGATGTTTTGTTATGAGATGTTTTTGTGACTTGTCTAAGCATTGAAATGAAGGAAATTTGATGTAAGAGTGTTTGGTGGTTGGTAAGTAGACTTTAGCTTGGTTTAAAACTAATTTTTGGGGGTTTGGACTAGTGAGAATTTGAATTATGGGTTCTGTGCTTAAATGGTCTTTATGGAGGGTGTTAGTAAGTTATTTGGGACTTGTTGGAGTCCCTAAGTTGTTTGAAAATAAGCCATAATTGGTAGAATTCAATTTGGGTCTATAAAGTAAGGTTTTAGTTAATTTTAGATTGGAATCTTGTGATCAATCACTTTAAAATGAGTTTAGGTTGGTTTAGATACATTTGTTTAGGTCCATTTTACTGTATAATACAATCTAGGAGTGTTATAACTTGGGAAAGATGCATAAAATTAGTCAGGAATTGTTGAGATGTGCAAATTCTACATTTTTGATGCTACATAATTATGCAGTCTCGCTGAGCAAGAGATGAGTGAGCAAAACCCACTGTTTCTATTTATGCTCAGCGAACAAACTTGGAATACTGAGCGAATCGGCTTTAGCTGCGCGAACAAACTTGGTGTGCTGAGCAACTAGGCTTTAGCTGAGCGAACATACTTAGTGGTTGAGCAAAAATATCAGATTTTCAACTAAGTTTTTATATATTTTCTTAAAGTGTGTGCAATGTATGTGAGTGTTTGAATGATTGGTTTCTACTACTTCTTGTGGAGTATGAATTGAATTGTAATATGAAATTAAAACAAGGTTATGTATATGACTAGTGATGTTATATGTGGGAATTCAATGTGAAAGTATATGAATATAAGTATGGTTTCAAATGGATTCAAGGTAAAGTGAAGTGATATTAAGTGTTTCATGGTTGATAACATGGGTTCCACGGGTAACTCCTTCAGTATGGTTTCAAGTATTGATGGTATGAATGACCAGAGTTTTGTTAAGGTTTATCCTAACATTCAAATGATTATTCATGCTCAAGTAGAGAGTGATGAGTCATTTGGTGAGAATAACAGAAGGTCCGAGCCTGAGGTGCCTTTCACCAGTTAGTAAAAGGGCGTTTGTAGGACTAACCTGGTGTGGTAGCTTGGGGTAGTCCAACTGTTCCACTATAACGGTGTAGGAATCCCTAGAACTCGACATTCCATTCAATATCCGGATGAGTCAGTCTAGGTCTTTAAATGTTAAAATGTTTGGGATTTAAATGTTTTATGTATGCTATGTATAAAGGTGGTATGAATTGTTTGGTATCTAGCTTATCCTTGCTTCTGTGTTTGTCTGCTTGTGTGTTGTTTTGTCTTTTGCAATGATTACCTTAACCGGTGTGAGCTTAGAAAAAACATCTTTCAGGGGATCCATCGATATGTTGAGAGAGAAACAATCAGATAGAGAATTTCACTTTTCAAAGGTAGAATCTTCTGCTCTAGTAGTTTGTAATTTTCTGATAAGTCATCATCCATGTAATGTTTTATTTTGATAGTTTTATTCTGCTAAAATGAAATGTTACCGTATATCTTTACAACTTATAAAATAACAAATACTTGTAATCTATCTTCGAGTATAATAAAAAATTAATAACAAACTTTTATACTTGTACTTTAGAATCAACTTTAATCTATTTTTAACATATTTAAGATGTTTAAAATAAAATTAGAAAATATTTCTTTTAAACTCATGTTAAACTCATGAGATCTTAAATTAAAATAATATTTTAAAATATATTAATCATTTGTTATTATGTAAAAATAAACGGATAAGATTCTTATTTTTATTTTCATGATATCTTACGTATAAAAGATACGTATTTTGTTTATTTTTTAATTCATGTACATGTAATAAAAAACTAGAATTTTTTTAAAATAAAACAACTTTTCATTGAAACATAAAAAATTGCAATTAATAAGATTTTTTAAATAATTAAAATTAAACTTTCAATTTTGAGTACCAATAAATACTTTCAAGCTTTGTTTTGTACTAAATGCTTTCACACTTAGCATATGAACATAGAGCTCCCTGTTTTTCGCAAACTTCACTCTAATTGGGAATGGAGGGAAATAATTTACTGCCCACGATCTTAGGACTAGGACTGTGCATGTGCATGTCATAGTTAAGCGCAACTTAGCATTTCTTTTTCTTTTATTTTTGGTTTTTATTTTTATTGTTTTAGTAATTAACTCGTGCCTTTCCTTGTCCTTCTCTCTCTAACAAAGAAACGACGACCATCATCACCGCTCCATTGCCACCGATCAAAACGCCGTCGTTTTGGACAGGGCGTGGAGATTCATTGCGGCATTTGATTTAATTTCACGCTCTCGTGCAGTTAGCGCCAGATTCACATTTCGCGCAACTTAGGTACCTTCATTTCTTCCAATTGAAGTTTCGTTGCAATTTTAGGGGGAAGATTCTACGGTTGTACCTGCTCAGCTTCAATTTTCGTTATAACTTTTATCACGAAAATATGTGGATTGTGTCGCTGTCTCGTTTTCACGATTGATGCAAGGGTTTCTCGGAATTTGCAGTAGATGCTCGAGTCGGATAACTGACGAGGGTGGTGATTTCGATTCGTGGATGGGTTAGGGCTTCGGGGAAGGTTTTAGGGATTTGTAGGGTTTAAGTATGCTTTAGCTGGTTATTTAATTCAAATCAGGGGCTTTCCCATTGGCGGAATGATTATGGTAGGTTGAGAATGGTGAGGCTCTTAGGATTGAATCGTGGGGAGGTCGATGAACCCAGGGAAATTGCGTCGAGGTCTAATTTGACAAGCGAGTCCAGTGAAAATGGGTGGCTCATCAGGTTCTTTGACTCATCGTTCTTCTGTGAGTGGATTGCTGTTAGCTACCTGTACAAGCATGACCACTCCGGGGTGCGTGATTACCTGTGTAATAGAATGTACACACTTCCCTTGCACGGAATTGAGAGTTATTTGTTCCAAGTATGTTACATGATGATACACAAGCCAAGTCCATCTTTGGATAAGTTCGTCATAGACGTGTGCTCCAAGTCGCTTAAGATTGCTTTGAAGGTGCATTGGTTCTTATTGGCAGAGCTTGAGGACTCCGATGATAATGAAGGAATTAGTAGGATTCAAGAAAAGTGCCAGATTGCAGCCACCTTAATGGGTGAGTGGCCGCCCTTGATAAGGCCTCAAAGTGCTCCTACAACCCCTGGAGGCAAGAGCCAAGTTTTGCATAAGATATTCTCATCAAAACAGCGATTGTTGTCACTAACATCTTCACCGCCTACTCAGAGGTCTATGTCATTCTCACCTTCATCAGGAAACAATTTGCAGGAGGATGGTAGTCCGCAATCTACTGAGGAAAACAAGTTATTTAAGAAGTTTATGCCAGGTCCAAAAGTTAGAGATGCTTTGCTTTTTAGAAAGTCAGTGGAGAAAGACGACGACGAGTCTGAAAAAGATGGTTTCTTCAAGAGGCTTTTAAGAGATAGCAAGGGTGAAGATGAGTTGGGCCAGAAGATTCGTGATGCTTTTGTCTTTCGTAAGTCTTCTGAGAAGTGTGACGAAGATTCTGAAAAGGATAATTTCTTTAAAAGGTTCTTAAGGGATGGTAGAGGGGATGATGAAGAATCTGAAAGGGATGGTTTCTTTAAAAGACTCTTAAGAGACAGTAAAGGTGAGGATGAGGACTTGCCCTCTAGTTCAGAAGGATTCTTTAAGAGATTGTTTCGTGATAACAAGAATGATTCTGAGGATAGAACACCCAATAAGACAATGGAGGATGAAGATAAAGAAGGTTTTTTCCGAAAGTTTTTCAGAGAGAAGTTTGAGGATAAGAAGGATGGGAATGACGAAGGAGATATTGCAAATTCCGAAGAGAAATGTGCAAAGCCTGCTGAAGAGGATGAAAAAGAAGGGTTTTTCCGAAAATTCTTTAAGGATAAATTTGACGACAAGAAAGATACAAGTGACAAAATTGAAGATGGTACAACCAATGTTGAGGAAGAACCCTCTGAATTTTCTTTGTTCAAAAGAATTTTCCGTGTGCATCCTGAAGACAGTAAAAGTAGTTCAGCCAGTGAAAACAATGGTGGGGTGTATGAAAGTAGTCCGGGTACAGAGAATTTTTTTCGTAAATTGTTTAGAGACCGTGATCGATCAATTGAAGATTCTGAGCTATTAGGGTCAAAAAGGCAGAAAGAGGTGTGTTAAACATACAGTAACCATTAACATTTAGTTTATTTATATATTGTTTTAACGTGAAACTGAAACCTGGGAATTTAGCACATGGTCAAGGCACCGAAAATAACTTTCTTTGGACTATACAAATGGCTTAAGTACTATAACTTCTGATACAAATCATTTTACGGCATCAATCTCGATCTGAACATCCATTACATTTTTGGCAACCCCATTATTGACTACCTGTACCCCTTATCAATAACAGTCATATCATGGGCATGAATGCACGACACATTGCATTCATGATGGATGCTTAAGAGATGATTGTAGTTGTGGGTTAGATTTAGAACTTAGAAGTGTAACATTAGTATTAATGCATCGAAAACTCTGTTTTCACATTCTTCATACTTTTGCTGATTTTAATTTTAGAGACATTGTAATTTCCCATCTATAAAATTATTTGCCTTCACTGGATTTTTCATGTTACTTTGGCAGAAGCATCCCGGATCACCAAAGCAGCAAAATGAGAAATCAGGAACAAAACCCCCGCTTCCAATTAATCCATCGCAGTTCCGGAAAGGGGCTTACCATGAATCATTGGATTTTGTGCTGACGTTATGTGAGACATCATTTGGTCTAGTGGACGTATTTCCAGTAGAAGACCGTAAAGATGCCCTGCATGAGGTTATCTCCTTACATTTTCCTTTAATGTTTTCTTTATCTAGTGCTTCTGACATGTACATATTCTTTGTTATTCCTGTGTTTCAAGTCACTTGCAGAGATCAATTTACATTTAATAGAAGCTCACAATATTGGAGGTACTTCTTAACTCTTAATGGTAGTAGTTAGTGATGTTAATTGGACTAAATGGTTTCCACCAATATTTTGTGATGTATTTAATATTAGCATATTACATGTTATTGCCAAAGAGTTCGAAAATTTTTGGAGCCATTATTTTAGTCCCAAAGAATATATGGGCCCAACTGATACCTTAGCTGGGGTTAAAAGAGAGATTTCACGGGATAGAGGAACAGAGTTGGTTAAGGAAATGAAGGAATAAAGGAGGTTCACATCATGGGGGAGGGGGATTGATTACGATTTTGTTTTTATTGTTTGGCTATAACTGGGCTGAGGTTTTAGTCACCTCTGAAGCAGCTATACTTGAGGGATTATAGGAGGAAACAATTGTAATCGATCATACTCAGTAAATAATACATCATTTCATACCAATTTGTCTTTTGGTTCTAAACAGTGATGCCACCTTCTGAGGTGAAAGATCAAAAGAGCTTATATGTTTTTTTTTTCTTTTCTTCTTTGCTTGGAATATAACTGTGATAAATCAAGCAGATTGCCAGTGTTTTTCCTTTTTGTGGTGGAGAAAATGGTGAAAATATCCATACATGATCATTGTGTTTCATATCTATAGGAGTTAATGTATGAAAGCTACCATTTTGGTGTTTATTAGGAGTCCGTTACTCAGAGGAGCCAGTGATATATATTTTTCTATCATGTACTAGAAATAATTGTCTCTTGTAGTTTTTACTTGCTACTATTCTTGGACTTTGGATTGATGCAAAGGAGTCAAATGTGATACTAGTTTCCATTGTTAGAATTGCTTATAATAGGATGGGATAGAGCAAAACATAATTGAAAGTATTCCATCAAACATCCTTTATTTTTTTCGCACTCTCTCTCTCTGTCTCTCCATTTTGGTGGACAAAAGTGAAAGCATTTTCAGTTCACCATAAAAATATCCTAAAAATGGAACGGTAAATTTTTTGTTCCACGGCCATCGAGGTTGTAAACACTCCTTGTGTTAGGACGTGGAGAGTCTATGAGAGGAGGAAAGGGAAACAAAACACTTAACTGCTAATCAGTTAAGTGAGGGGGCGGGAAAAGGCCTATATATTAGGACCCTTTAATGTTTCAGGGAGGAAGTTGAGTAGTTTGTATGTGTTGACCGGTCTTAGCACCAGGTGGAGGAGGTTAAGCTCCTAAGATACAATGTATTCTTGATTCATTGTTGTGAATACCATTCATACTATTCCTTCTTTACAAGTTCTTGATTGTTGTGTTTGAGATAGAGAGAGAGTTGGTTAGGAATTCCTTCCCGAATCCCTAACAAAGTGGTCCGACCTGTCGGATATCCTTAGGAGAGGGGTCAAGAACGCATCAAGAAGTGGTCAAGAAAGGAGGGAAGCATGGAAGGAAGAGACAATTCTTGGGAAAGGAGGATTAGTGAACAGAAAAGGGAGCTAGCAGAATGGAGAAGAAATATGCAAGAAATGCAGCAAGAAACTAGAGAACTCTTGCGAGTTCTTGGAGGAAGGGTGTGGAACCAGGAAAAGGGATTAGAAGGCAGTCCAGGGTTTGTAGATGAAGATCAACATACTGTTAACGAGAATCAGAGAAGGAGAAGGGAATGCTCGGGGGAGGAACGAGAGCGAAGACAAAGGGGGGAAAAATTAAACGCACTAGAAGGAAGAATGGAGGAACGAATGGCGGCAATGGAGCCGCCAATGGATGGACGAAAGGCGGAGATGGAGTCGTCAAGGGAGAAAATGAAGGTGAAAACGGCGGCAATTCGACAAGACTCGGCAGCCACACGCCAGGATCTTCAAGAAGTGAGGCGATTATCGGGGGGACGGCACCGCATTCAAGGGGAACTGTCTGACGACAGTCAGGCGCCTGTGAACACCAATAGGAGTACGAGACGCAAGGACGAAATTGGGGGTGGAGAAGGTGAGCGGTTCAATTGGAGGAAGAGGGTGGAGTTGCCCGTGTTCGAAGGATTAGATCCATTGAACTGGATCAATTGGGCGGAGCGACTCTTCGAATTTCAAGGAGTAGCGGAAGAGGAGAAGGTACGATTAGCGTATGTGAGCATGGAAGGGAGCGCTGGCTATTGGTTCAAAGCATGGAAGGAGAAAGCCAAGAATCGTTCATGGTATGGCTTGAAGGAAGCCCTGGTGATAAGGTTTGGAATCATTGTTGAGCGGTTGACAGCATTGAGACAGACGGGGACGGTGGACGAGTATGTACAATACTTCAAGATATTGGCGGGCCGAACGAAGAGGGTACCGGATGAGTAGCTGTTGGGATATTGTCTTGCGGGATTGAAAGAGGACATCCAGAATCAAGTCCGACAGCATGAACCGCAAGAATGGATGGTGGCGATGCAGATCGCAAGGGATGTTGAGGAGTTCCAGAGAGTTGCCGAGCGGTCTGAGGACAAGTGCTATAGCCCATGCCGATCGGGAGTGGACGAGCGGTCCGAAGCCATAGAAGACAAGTCGTCTTGGGGACGAACGAGCGGTGAGGTGACATGGTCCGAGGCCGATCGCTATAACCCAGACCAATCGAGAGTTACCGAAAGATCGGAGGCCAAGCGCTATAGCCAAGGTCGATCGAGAGTGGCCGAGCGGTCGGTCGGAACCGAACAGGAGAAGACTGTTGGACCCAACGGGAGAGGCTTGACGAAGCCGAACGGGCTAGCACTACAAGCTGCGAACCCGAGAGGACTCAAGGAACCGAACGGTCCGGAAGCAAATGGGAAATAACTGTCGAATCCGAACGTGAAAGGACAGGAGGAACCGAACGATCTTACATTTACAGTCAAAGGCCGAACGGTTTTACACTCAAAACGATCTCCTAATCATTGGCCGAACGGTCTTACAGTTACATTCAAAGGCCGAACGGTCTTACAGTCCAAACAATCTCTCAGTAATGGGCCGAACGGGCTTACAATTAGAATGAAGGCTAAGGAGGGAAAGGTGGATGGAAGAATCAATGGACAGGAGAGAAGGATAGATTTTGTGAAGAGGTGGACCAGCGAACAAAAGAAGGGACTTGCAGTTCGTGAGGCACCTGCAAAGGGGAGAGAACTTTTTGAAGCTTTGAAAGACATCGAAGACCATTTCTTCAGGGATTATAATTCTGGAAAAGAGGTGACCAGAATGCTGGAAGCTAATAAAATCCAAGAAGAATGGAAGTCATTGAAGGAGGAATTAGCACCACCCAAACCTCCAGACATGAATTGGAGGGCAGTTGCCAGAGGGTTCCATTCATATGAGTACACGATGATGAAGAGGAGCCATGAGATCATGCCTTCGGTTTCCAACCTTGAGGACAAGGTTGTTCGGCAGCGGGGTGTAATGTTAGGACGTGGAGAGTCTATGAGAGGAGGAAAGGGAAACAGAACACTTAACTGCTAATCAGTTAAGTGAGGGGGCGGGAAAGGGCCTATATATTAGGACCCTTTAATGTTTCAGGGAGTCAGTTGAGTAGTTTGTATGTGTTGACCAGTCTTAGCACCAAGTGGAGGAGGTTAAGCTCCTAAGATACACTGTATTCTTGATTCATTGTTGTTAATACCATTCATACTATTCCTTCTTTACAAGTTCTTGATTGTTGTGTTTGAGATAGAGAGAGAGCTGGTTAGGAATTCCTTCCCGAATCCCTAACACCTTGGGAGGCTCAAATGACCATTTTTATAACTTTTCCCTTCACTATTCGGAACTTCTCAACTTTACTGCCGTTGTACCAATTCTCATGCTCTAGTAAAGTTCGTGGTCAGTTTCCAGTGCTCCAGCATCTTGCAATTGAATATTTAAAGACTTTCCCAATCTTCAATTATCAAACTTTCAATATGCTATGACATCAAGTCTTCATTGTTATGGCCTATCACACTGGATCATGCTTCCTCCCTTTTCTTTCATAATTAGCTTTCTTGTATTGAATACAATGAAAAACTAATAATAAGATTAATCTTCCTTGTATAAAACATAGGTATTGTATTTATAATAAAAAAAATATGGACTAAACCCAAAGTACAAATAATGATAAGCAAAGATAATAACAAAAAAACAAAACATGAAAGATAAGATATTTAACACTCTCTCTTAAGTTGGTGAATATAAATTATATGTACCAAGCTTGTTGCAAATAAAATAAATTCTCGGTCTTGGTAAAGACCTAGTGAAAATATCTACTAATTGATTGTTTGAGTTAATGAACTCAGTCTTGATGTCTCCATATACAATCTTCTCTTAAATAAAATAATAGTCAATCTCGATGTGTCTGGTTATCTCATGAAAGACAAAGTTAGACCTAACATGAGGAGCAACCTAATTGTCACATATAAATGTCATTTGAGTGACATCTCTAAATTGTAACTCTCAACAATTGCTTAAGCCAAACAAGTATTAGCAACAAGCTAATGTAAAGCCTAAAGGATTTTGATGATGAAGTGCTTAAAGACTAGAAGCAACTAATGTTTATAGGATTGATGTAAAATAAAGCTTTTGTCAATAACTACACATTTATAACTTAGACAAAAAAACAACATTAGAGGAGAATTATAATGCTTTAACACTTAACCTTTCTTCTCCCCCTTTTAGATCAGAATAAATAATAGAATAACTCCCCTTAAACACATGCATACAACTAAGTAGAAGCTCCCCCTCAATTTCTCAGTCCAATCATCAAGGAGCTACTCCTCAATATGATAATAAAATTAACAAGTAGTAACTCAGCAATGAATAAGAAGCAAATTTTCATTAATACTTAAAAATAGAAGTACAATTTTAAAATTCCTCACTAGACCCATCATCATACTCTTCTTCTAAATGAAGCTCAATATTGGTCAACCTATTATCTATGTCACTAATGAGGCCACTCATTTGTTCATGTTGAGCAACACGAAGTGAGAGCAATTCTTGATGCCTTGTGGCTTGGAGGTTGTACATTTCCTCCATCCTCCTAGTGAGAGTTGCAATATTTTCCTCCATAGATGAGGATGAGCCTTTATGAGCTCTTGATGGTCCAACAACATCTGTAGCATTAGGCATTGAAGCATCTTCCTCCCCTTCTTCAGTAGGCACGTCTCCTTTGTGGATGAAGTTGTTACCATGGGGAATAAATCCCATTTGCCTAAGTGCCCCTTGTTCAATCTCATTTAATGGCAGAGTGTTGGAGACCTTTTCACCTTCAATGCTAACACCTTTGTAATCACAAATTATAGATAGTAACAAAGCATAGGGGAGGTAGTAGACAGGATACCTCTTAGCCTTCAACATGGTGTCAATAATTAGACTAGGCCAGTCAATTGTGATATGATTCAGTAGCCCATAGATGATCAGTAAGTCCTGTTCAGAACATTGGGCATGGTTAGTGGCTCGTGGAGAGAGGATCCAGCCAATAAGGTAATGGATGAGACGCTCATTCATTTTGAGATCACCCACCAATAAATCCCATTCACTTTGGATAATTGATTATCCCTGCAAAAACCAGAAATTATTTGATTCACATATAGTCGATTATCTCCAGGAAAAATTGATTATCCTCGAAAAATATATTTTGCCAAGGTTCGCAGATAATCGATTATCACTAAGGATAATCAATTATCTCAGGAAAATTATCTTTCGAAATGATTCACAGATAATCGATTATTATCACTTCGGATAATCAATTATCCACGACAGTTGCGAGAAAACTCTTGATCTTCTAACCTAATTTCAAACCTTCCCTATAAATACTTCACTTCTAAGCTCTAAGTTACTTAAACTGTTTGAGAACTAAGTGCATTGCTTGAACTCTTCGTGTTTTAAGTTAGCTTGTGAACTTGGTGCTAAGTGGAAGGAAGTGTTTGTCTTAGTGTGTGTAAGTGTAGAAGCATATCTACTAAGCAAAGTTAAGCTGGTTCATCCTTTTGTGTGTCAAAAGGAAGCGTTGTTCATCTCTTGTTTGTCAAAAGAGGTGTTTTCTAAACCTCTACTCTACTCCATATTGTAAGTTGTATGTTTATTATTAGTTATTGGTTAATCTCTCTTTTAGAGGATTAACAATTAGACGTAGGATCTTTTGATCTAAACCAGTATAAAAATCACTTGTGCAAACTTTTCTTTCTTTATACTCTTTTATTTACTTGTTTTTATTTTAAGTGATTTTCTGTTCTATAAAGTTACTTTATAAAAAGGGAAGATTTTTTAAAAAGAAGCTATTTTTAAGGAAAAACCAATTCATCCCTCTCTTGGTTATTGTTGCTCACTAAACATTCCGTTGCATATGAGTAACAAGTACATAAGTGGCTGAGGCAATAACTCTATATTCTGCTTTTGCACAAAATCTTGCCACAACATTTTGTTTCTTTCCAAGAGAACAAGTTATGACTAATGGAGACACTATCCGAGAGTAGATCTTCTATCAGAAGGAGATCTTGCTCAATTAGCATCTGAATAACAAACAACTCTTGTATGGTTATTGGAACCATGTAACAAACATTTTCCAGGGGATGCTTTAATATACTTTAATATACAGATGACTGCATTCCAATGATCATCAACAACGGTAACAAAATATTGAAAACCTAAATTAGACTTAACACGACTAGGGCCTCAAATGTCAGAGTGAACTAAGGCAAAAGGGGACGAAGCACGTTGTGAGACACTACGAGGAAAGGAACCACGACTATGTTTCCTTAACTGACATGACTCACACCAAACTAGATAACTTGGACAAGATGAAAATAAGCTACTGTAATTTGGCCATACTGGATGACACAATTGAGCATGAAGGAGAGATGGAGACTCCATAACTGTGCTAACATGTATAGAAGGGTGGAGATGATAAAGACTGTGAGACTCACATCCAGTGCCAATCACCTGTCTCGAACTTCGGTCTGGTAAAAAACAAAATCTTTGGTAAAAGAAATAACACAATCAAGAGAACGAGTTAGATGACTGATGAATAATAAGTTAAAAGGAGACTATTGACATAAAGAACATTATCAATGGATAAAAAGGAAAAAACATTAATAGTCCCAACACCATGAGTTAAAACCATAGACTCATCAGTCATTGTAACATAAGGTAAATTATCTGGAGAGGATAAAGAAAAAAACAAAGATTTGTTACTAGTAATGTGATTTGTGGTCCTGAGACGAGAACTCAAGGACCAAGAGAAGAAGATTGAGTTAGCTCAACAAAAGATGTACTTGTGCATGCAACAGAAGCATTGGAATTAGAAGGCTAAAAATATTCATATCATTTGAGAAATTCATTGAAAATAGTAGATTTTTCGATGATATTAGATGGAGGAGGATCTACAATAGATGATTGTGAGGGAGGTTTAATCTAACCAACAACAACATATTGAGGAGGATGACCATGTAATGCATAACAATTGTTAGTCTTGTGGCCTAGCTTGTGACAATGGTCACACTTGTGACGCTCTTTTCCTAGCTTGTGGCAGTGATTGCAATCATCATGTTGCGATGCCAAATCAGAGGAATCATTGCCATAAGCAGGTGTATCATTGATGGGTTTACTTGGCACATGCAAAAGGGTGGAACAAGTAGAAGTAAAATTAGGTGCAACAAGGGAACCCAAAATCTGATAACAGACATGAAAATATTCATCAGCAAGTCCATGTAATGCCAACACCATGAAGAAGTTTGACCGTTGCTCTATTTCTTGGGCAGGAGTAGAGGCAGGAGGTAATACTTCATTAAATTGATGAAAAAGAGCATGAAGGTTATCCAAATAACTAGTCATAGAGTTTTGACATCGAGGAGCAACAATATTGAAAAGATCGTAACAAACGCCATAAAGACATTGACTATCATTGGTGTATAATGATTTGGCCTATTACCGGATTTTAGAACATGTGTCGTAGGCACGAAACATTTGTTTTAAAGAAGATTGAATGGTAGACTTGAGAACGATGCTTAATTGAGCATCAATTTTCTTCCAACGGAAAATTTCACTGGGAGCAATAGTAGTCACTCTTTGATAAGATGATCAACATACTACTAACTCTCAAACCAAAGTTTAATGTTTGACACCTAAGTCACATAATTAGTGCCATCTAATTTATCAATAGACAAGTGCACATTCACATAGTTAGTATAGATGGACGGATAAGACAAATTGGTGGTAGAAGAGATATCAGAAGAGGCAAGGAAAGAAGCCTTATAGGAAGAGAGAGAAATACCATAAAAACCCAAAGAGGTCTGATCAATGTAGCAAGGTTATATCTAGAAAGAGGAGGCCACAGTGAGTCCATCGATGATGACCAACGCCTCACGTGCCACCACATGCAGCTGGAAAAAATTGCTGACCAAAGCTTTGATTGGCGGGTGGGAGGGCGTGTCTGGACTTCGATGGCAGTGATCTTGACGACACGGTGATCTTGTGGTTGAGATGAGCAAAACCGTGTAGTCGCGAGTCTAAACTGAAACTCCGGCAACAACAACAACAGCGGTGACAATAGTTGTAGTGGTAGGGGTGACAAAAAAATTGCAAAAGAACTCTAAGCTCTAGATACCATATTGAATATAATGAAAGACTAGGTATATGATTAATCTTCCTTGGGTAGAAAGTACACATAGGGTACTATATTTATAATAAAGAAAATATGGGCTAAGCACAAAGTATAAATAATGATTGGCAAAGATAATAACAAAAAAATAGAAGATAAAAGATAAGATATCTAACATCTTGAACATATGTAAGAAATTTAAAAGAATAAAATATCTAAACTTTTGATAAGGAAAATACTAACAAAATAACCAAAAAATAAAAATCAATGCAAGCAAACAAAAACAATAACTAATGGAAATTGGGACAAGAGCTAATTACTAAGCATGAAGTATTATCTTTGAACTTGATTATCATATGGAAAATGACCAAAGTTTCTAATCTAAAACTTATTCCATTCCACTCACTCACTCACCATTAGATAACCTAACATTACCTAAAATAATGTGATTTTGGTGTATCTATTCTGTTTTGTATTCTCATTGCTTGTTTGCTTACAGTTTTCCTTTATTCTCTTTCTTGTATATGAGTCTTGTTTTTCGAATATTCCTAGGAGTTTGCTTTCCGTTGGGAAAGGGCATGTACCGTGTACTTCATATACCTGAAGATGAAGCTGTTATCTTGAATTCTAGGGAGAAGGCACCGTACATGATTTGTGTTGAAGTTTTGAGATGTGAAATGCCAAGGTATTACTTGGATAATAATCCCCATGCGTTGTGGAAAATATTGTGCTTTGTAAAATGCAAACCATATTTCTGATATACTGTCCTTCCTGCAAAACCCTTGTTATAGCAATTCCAAAGAGACATCTAATTCTCAGAAACTTTCAAAAGGGGGGATTCCGTTGGCAAATGGAGATGCTTTCTTTCAAAAACCACCCCCTTGGGCATATCCATTATGGACAGCTCAAGAAGCATATCGCAATAGCAATGATAGAATGTCCAGATCAACTGCTGAGGCTATTGACCAGGCAATGACCCATGTGCCTGATGCAAAAGTCAAATTTGTTAGTGTGAATCTTTCTGTGGAAGCACCATTTCATTGTAGGTCAGAGAATACTGAAGCAGAGCTCTGTGATGGCATTAAGCATATTTCAATTTACAGAGATGGTATTCAAGAAGTGGGAAGGTCAGGAAATGACAGTGATATGGAGTGGGTGCAGGTAGTATTGAAAGCTGATCCTGGGTTAAAAATGGAAGATATTGAGGATCAAACACCAAAACGGCGGAAGGAACATCGACGTGTTCCAAGTACAGTGGCAATAGAGGAAGTAAAAGTGAGTCTTTAACTGTCATTTAGTGATATTGATAATGATATCCCATTACATGATAACTTAATCCAGAATATGAAAATTTTAGATATGTATGCATACATGCAAGACACAAGTTCTTAGTAGTATAGGAACCAACATTATGGGTTATGTAAAGTCATTCTGTTCAGTGAAAGATTATGCTTTTCACACCTGGACGTGTAGTGTATGTTTGGATTGGATGATTTTTATAGGTTATTTGAATAACCAATTATAAATATAATTGATTATTGTTATAATCAGTTATATGAAAAGTTTAAATATATTGGTGAAAAGTAGATCAATGTAATCTATTTTGTTTGGGTTGTCTAAAATAATTGGCTTTATATAGTAAAATAAAAAAATGGGGTAAGAAATTATTTGTATGTATTTAAATTAATCAATTGTTGATAAAATGGGAAAGCAAAAAGTAATTAGAAAATTTTCTTTGTCAAAGGAAGGATCTAAGATTAATATGATTTTCACCAATGGTACCAAACAAAAGAGAATACGACTATAAAATACGATTATAAACAGTTTATATGTGTGTATCACATATATATCTAGTGTGTATAATCTCTGAAACTAATCAAGTCAAAACATATACAGTACAAATGAATGATAGGTTTGAATTACAAATTGATTGTTCATGTTTTATTTGCCATTTCCCATTCAGATTACAACTTTTTGTGTTTTTAACACTTTAAATTTGCTAGGCTGCGGCAGCAAAGGGAGAAGCACCCCTTGGACTCCCTTTGAAAGGTGCTGGTCAAGATTCATCAGATGCACCACCAAGGGTAGGACAATTTACTTGTAAATTTTGTTTTTGTTTAGCCTTAGAAGTATGAAGTTGTTGTAAATAACATAATTCTTCTAAACAGGCTAATGGAATTATACCCAAAGCTAGTGATGCCTTGTCTGGTGAACTTTGGGAGGTAAAGAAAGAGAGGATCCGTAAGGCTTCTGTCCATGGGAATTTACCTGGTTGGGACTTGCGATCTGTACGTATATTTATCAATCCAAAGAATTCTTTTTGTTTGTCATCTTTTTTTAATGTCATGAAGACCAGAATTTAATAAAGTAAAACGAAATGCATGAGACACATTTATATCACCCACAGGGAAGTGTTTTATTTATTTACTAATTTTTTATTAGAACTGGTATCCAAGTCAGAAAATAATGTTTTGCAATTGAATAATGTATGAATTATAATTTCTAGCAAGGTTGGGTACAGTACAGTGTTGTTAAATAGCCACTATATTTCTGCTATTGCATTGTGGAATTCTGCTGATCTGTGATTGCAACTCTGTCCACTATCGTGGCTGTGACATGTATCCTGGATCCCCTTATCATCTCTGGCGGTCCTCTCTCCCATTGAACTTGAGTTAATATTGTGCCAGTTTCTATTCATTTTAGTTTTATTTGCTTACAACTTAATCTTGTTTACATATTTGATTGATATATATAATTTATTTCAATTGGTTTGACTTCTGCTATTTGCCTAAGACAGTATATGTATTGGCATTCCACCATTCTCCGTGATTCACATTTAATAATGTCGGTTGAGAATTTTGTACTGCTATACGTTGTATTTTTTAACCTAGTGTAGTGCATTGAATCCTTTTCTGAAAAATACTTTAGACAAATAAATTTCTAAATTAAGGAATGCTTTCTCTAATTANCAGTAAGTCCTGTTCAGAACATTGGGCATGGTTAGTGGCTCGTGGAGAGAGGATCCAGCCAATAAGGTAATGGATGAGACGCTCATTCATTTTGAGATCACCCACCAATAAATCCCATTCACTTTGGATAATTGATTATCCCTGCAAAAACCAGAAATTATTTGATTCACATATAGTCGATTATCTCCAGGAAAAATTGATTATCCTCGAAAAATATATTTTGCCAAGGTTCGCAGATAATCGATTATCACTAAGGATAATCAATTATCTCAGGAAAATTATCTTTCGAAATGATTCACAGATAATCGATTATTATCACTTCGGATAATCAATTATCCACGACAGTTGCGAGAAAACTCTTGATCTTCTAACCTAATTTCAAACCTTCCCTATAAATACTTCACTTCTAAGCTCTAAGTTACTTAAACTGTTTGAGAACTAAGTGCATTGCTTGAACTCTTCGTGTTTTAAGTTAGCTTGTGAACTTGGTGCTAAGTGGAAGGAAGTGTTTGTCTTAGTGTGTGTAAGTGTAGAAGCATATCTACTAAGCAAAGTTAAGCTGGTTCATCCTTTTGTGTGTCAAAAGGAAGCGTTGTTCATCTCTTGTATGTCAAAAGAGGTGTTTTCTAAACCTCTACTCTACTCCATATTGTAAGTTGTATGTTTATTATTAGTTATTGGTTAATCTCTCTTTTAGAGGATTAACAATTAGACGTAGGATCTTTTGATCTAAACCAGTATAAAAATCACTTGTGCAAACTTTTCTTTCTTTATACTCTTTTATTTACTTGTTTTTATTTTAAGTGATTTTCTGTTCTATAAAGTTACTTTATAAAAAGGGAAGATTTTTTAAAAAGAAGCTATTTTTAAGGAAAAACCAATTCATCCCTCTCTTGGTTATTGTTGCTCACTAAACATTCCGTTGCATATGAGTAACAAGTACATAAGTGGCTGAGGCAATAACTCTATATTCTGCTTTTGCACAAAATCTTGCCACAACATTTTGTTTCTTTCCAAGAGAACAAGTTATGACTAATGGAGACACTATCCGAGAGTAGATCTTCTATCAGAAGGAGATCTTGCTCAATTAGCATCTGAATAACAAACAACTCTTGTATGGTTATTGGAACCATGTAACAAACATTTTCCAGGGGATACTTTAATATACTTTAATATACAGATGACTGCATTCCAATGATCATCAACAACGGTAACAAAATATTGAAAACCTAAATTAGACTTAACACGACTAGGGCCTCAAATGTCAGAGTGAACTAAGGCAAAAGGGGACGAAGCACGTTGTGAGACACTACGAGGAAAGGAACCACGACTATGTTTCCTTAACTGACATGACTCACACCAAACTAGATAACTTGGACAAGATGAAAATAAGCTACTGTAATTTGGCCATACTGGATGACACAATTGAGCATGAAGGAGAGATGGAGACTCCATAACTGTGCTAACATGTATAGAAGGGTGGAGATGATAAAGACTGTGAGACTCACATCCAGTGACAATCACCTATCTCGAACTTCGGTCAGGTAAAAAACAAAATCTTTGGTAAAAGAAATAACACAATCAAGAGAACGAGTTAGATGACTGATGAATAATAAGTTAAAAGGAGACTATTGACATAAAGAACATTATCAATGGATAAAAAGGAAAAAACATTAATAGTCCCAACACCATGAGTTAAAACCATAGACTCATCAGTCATTGTAACATAAGGTAAATTATCTGGAGAGGATAAAGAAAAAAACAAAGATTTGTTACTAGTAATGTGATTTGTGGTCCTGAGACGAGAACTCAAGGACCAAGAGAAGAAGATTGAGTTAGCTCAACAAAAGATGTACTTGTGCATGCAACAGAAGCATTGGAATTAGAAGGCTAAAAATATTCATATCATTTGAGAAATTCATTGAAAATAGTAGATTTTTCGATGATATTAGATGGAGGAGGATCTACAATAGATGATTGTGAGGGAGGTTTAATCTAACCAACAACAACATATTGAGGAGGATGACCATGTAATGCATAACAATTGTTAGTCTTGTGGCCTAGCTTGTGACAATGGTCACACTTGTGACGCTCTTTTCCTAGCTTGTGGCAATGATTGCAATCATCATGTTGCGATGCCAAATCAGAGGAATCATTGCCATAAGCAGGTGTATAATTGATGGGTTTACTTGGCACATGCAAAAGGGTGGAACAAGTAGAAGTAAAATTAGGTGCAACAAGGGAACCCAAAATCTGATAACAGACATGAAAATATTCATCAGCAAGTCCATGTAATGCCAACACCATGAAGAAGTTTGACCGTTGCTCTATTTCTTGGGCAGGAGTAGAGGCAGGAGGTAATACTTCATTAAATTGATGAAAAAGAGCATGAAGATTATCCAAATAACTAGTCATAGAGTTTTGACATCGAGGAGCAACAATATTGAAAAGATCGTAACAAACGCCATAAAGACATTGACTATCATTGGTGTATAATGATTTGGCCTATTACCGGATTTTAGAACATGTGTCGTAGGCACGAAACATTTGTTTTAAAGAAGATTGAATGGTAGACTTGAGAACGATGCTTAATTGAGCATCAATTTTCTTCCAACGGAAAATTTCACTGGGAGCAATAGTAGTCACTCTTTGATAAGATGATCAACATACTACTAACTCTCAAACCAAAGTTTAATGTTTGACACCTAAGTCACATAATTAGTGCCATCTAATTTATCAATAGACAAGTGCACATTCACATAGTTAGTATAGATGGACGGATAAGACAAATTGGTGGAAGAAGAGATATCAGAAGAGGCAAGGAAAGAAGCCTTATAGGAAGAGAGAGAAATACCATAAAAACCCAAAGAGGTCTGATCAATGTAGCAAGGTTATATCTAGAAAGAGGAGGCCACAGTGAGTCCATCGATGATGACCAACGCCTCACGTGCCACCACATGCAGCTGGAAAAAATTGCTGACCAAAGCTTTGATTGGCGGGTGGGAGGGCGTGTCTGGACTTCGATGGCAGTGATCTTGACGACACGGTGATCTTGTGGTTGAGATGAGCAAAACCGTGTAGTCGCGAGTCTAAACTGAAACTCCGGCAACAACAACAACAGCGGTGACAATAGTTGTAGTGGTAGGGGTGACAAAAAAATTGCAAAAGAACTCTAAGCTCTAGATACCATATTGAATATAATGAAAGACTAGGTATATGATTAATCTTCCTTGGGTAGAAAGTACACATAGGGTACTATATTTATAATAAAGAAAATATGGGCTAAGCACAAAGTATAAATAATGATTGGCAAAGATAATAACAAAAAAATAGAAGATAAAAGATAAGATATCTAACATCTTGAACATATGTAAGAAATTTAAAAGAATAAAATATCTAAACTTTTGATAAGGAAAATACTAACAAAATAACCAAAAAATAAAAATCAATGCAAGCAAACAAAAACAATAACTAATGGAAATTGGGACAAGAGCTAATTACTAAGCATGAAGTATTATCTTTGAACTTGATTATCATATGGAAAATGACCAAAGTTTCTAATCTAAAACTTATTCCATTCCACTCACTCACTCACCATTAGATAACCTAACATTACCTAAAATAATGTGATTTTGGTGTATCTATTCTGTTTTGTATTCTCATTGCTTGTTTGCTTACAGTTTTCCTTTATTCTCTTTCTTGTATATGAGTCTTGTTTTTCGAATATTCCTAGGAGTTTGCTTTCCGTTGGGAAAGGGCATGTACCGTGTACTTCATATACCTGAAGATGAAGCTGTTATCTTGAATTCTAGGGAGAAGGCACCGTACATGATTTGTGTTGAAGTTTTGAGATGTGAAATGCCAAGGTATTACTTGGATAATAATCCCCATGCGTTGTGGAAAATATTGTGCTTTGTAAAATGCAAACCATATTTCTGATATACTGTCCTTCCTGCAAAACCCTTGTTATAGCAATTCCAAAGAGACATCTAATTCTCAGAAACTTTCAAAAGGGGGGATTCCGTTGGCAAATGGAGATGCTTTCTTTCAAAAACCACCCCCTTGGGCATATCCATTATGGACAGCTCAAGAAGCATATCGCAATAGCAATGATAGAATGTCCAGATCAACTGCTGAGGCTATTGACCAGGCAATGACCCATGTGCCTGATGCAAAAGTCAAATTTGTTAGTGTGAATCTTTCTGTGGAAGCACCATTTCATTGTAGGTCAGAGAATACTGAAGCAGAGCTCTGTGATGGCATTAAGCATATTTCAATTTACAGAGATGGTATTCAAGAAGTGGGAAGGTCAGGAAATGACAGTGATATGGAGTGGGTGCAGGTAGTATTGAAAGCTGATCCTGGGTTAAAAATGGAAGATATTGAGGATCAAACACCAAAACGGCGGAAGGAACATCGACGTGTTCCAAGTACAGTGGCAATAGAGGAAGTAAAAGTGAGTCTTTAACTGTCATTTAGTGATATTGATAATGATATCCCATTACATGATAACTTAATCCAGAATATGAAAATTTTAGATATGTATGCATACATGCAAGACACAAGTTCTTAGTAGTATAGGAACCAACATTATGGGTTATGTAAAGTCATTCTGTTCAGTGAAAGATTATGCTTTTCACACCTGGACGTGTAGTGTATGTTTGGATTGGATGATTTTTATAGGTTATTTGAATAACCAATTATAAATATAATTGATTATTGTTATAATCAGTTATATGAAAAGTTTAAATATATTGGTGAAAAGTAGATCAATGTAATCTATTTTGTTTGGGTTGTCTAAAATAATTGGCTTTATATAGTAAAATAAAAAAATGGGGTAAGAAATTATTTGTATGTATTTAAATTAATCAATTGTTGATAAAATGGGAAAGCAAAAAGTAATTAGAAAATTTTCTTTGTCAAAGGAAGGATCTAAGATTAATATGATTTTCACCAATGGTACCAAACAAAAGAGAATACGACTATAAAATACGATTATAAACAGTTTATATGTGTGTATCACATATATATCTAGTGTGTATAATCTCTGAAACTAATCAAGTCAAAACATATACAGTACAAATGAATGATAGGTTTGAATTACAAATTGATTGTTCATGTTTTATTTGCCATTTCCCATTCAGATTACAACTTTTTGTGTTTTTAACACTTTAAATTTGCTAGGCTGCGGCAGCAAAGGGAGAAGCACCCCTTGGACTCCCTTTGAAAGGTGCTGGTCAAGATTCATCAGATGCACCACCAAGGGTAGGACAATTTACTTGTAAATTTTGTTTTTGTTTAGCCTTAGAAGTATGAAGTTGTTGTAAATAACATAATTCTTCTAAACAGGCTAATGGAATTATACCCAAAGCTAGTGATGCCTTGTCTGGTGAACTTTGGGAGGTAAAGAAAGAGAGGATCCGTAAGGCTTCTGTCCATGGGAATTTACCTGGTTGGGACTTGCGATCTGTACGTATATTTATCAATCCAAAGAATTCTTTTTGTTTGTCATCTTTTTTTAATGTCATGAAGACCAGAATTTAATAAAGTAAAACGAAATGCATGAGACACATTTATATCACCCACAGGGAAGTGTTTTATTTATTTACTAATTTTTTATTAGAACTGGTATCCAAGTCAGAAAATAATGTTTTGCAATTGAATAATGTATGAATTATAATTTCTAGCAAGGTTGGGTACAGTACAGTGTTGTTAAATAGCCACTATATTTCTGCTATTGCATTGTGGAATTCTGCTGATCTGTGATTGCAACTCTGTCCACTATCGTGGCTGTGACATGTATCCTGGATCCCCTTATCATCTCTGGCGATCCTCTCTCCCATTGAACTTGAGTTAATATTGTGCCAGTTTCTATTCATTTTAGTTTTATTTGCTTACAACTTAATCTTGTTTACATATTTGATTGATATATATAATTTATTTCAATTGGTTTGACTTCTGCTATTTGCCTAAGACAGTATATGTATTGGCATTCCACCATTCTCCGTGATTCACATTTAATAATGTAGGTTGAGAATTTTGTACTGCTATACGTTATATTTTTTAACCTAGTGTAGTGCATTGAATCCTTTTCTGAAAAATACTTTAGACAAATAAATTTCTAAATTAAGGAATGCTTTCTCTAATTATGAATTTCCCTTAAGCAAAATATTGGGTTTGAGGCTTTTGTACCTAGTAATCTCTGCTTGGAGAGCTAACCCCTGTCATGCTGTGAATGTTCACACCCTGAACATGATAGCTTATTGTGGAAGATTCTTGTGGTCCTAGACCAATACATGGTTTGTAAAATTTGAATTAACAATATCAATGCAAGAATATTCTATGGAGGTGCAACCATAAGAAAGTTCAACAACTTCTTGACTAGTTAGCCTTTTGGAAACCCTTTTTTGAGTTGGAGTTCGGCTTCTCTGCAGTAAAATCATGCAGTATCCATTGGGATAAACCATTAACTTTGTCCCTATAAGAAAATAATCATGGACTTATATCACACAAAATTCAACCTTTGAAATTTTCTTTATCAATTTTGTGTGATAAGGTTAATGATTACCTGTACCACATTCTGCATGGTTTCTCTACATAAAAGTTAGTCTGGCACTGAATACTCTTTGTTGGGAGTCCTAACTTGGGACAAAGGGCCATGGAAATTTGTCTTTACATTTGACATTAAAAAATATTTCCTTCATTCTTTGTTTTGTTATTGTGACATCTGTTTTACGCATATTATGACAGAATTCTCATTCGAATCAAGAAAGAGAGTTTTAGCAATCAAAACTTCGATTTTCCCAATTTGTTAAAGCTGTGTATATCCATATCTTCATATATCATCATGGTTTTGTAGTGTAACTGTGGTCAGCTTTTTGTTCAAGATGAGTTATTGAGATTATTCTATTTGAGTATGTGTGCTTTAAGATCCCAACTTTTGAACATGATGGCAAAATTTCCACTTTATCATAGGTAATTGTTAAAAGCGGGGATGATTGTAGGCAGGAGCATCTGGCAGTTCAACTTATTTCACACTTCTATGGTAGGTGGTCTCTTTCAGACTCTTCCTATGGCACCTCATATTCCGAACTTACCATTCCTTTTTGAATGTTGTTCGTTGTGCTGCAAAAAATAAATTTGCCTTTTATGATTATTTTGTCTTTTGGTGTTTGTTTTCCATGACAAGAATATTATTTGACTATGGTATTAGAAGATGTATCTTATATTCCCCTGGACCCTGATTCTTTATACCACTGGCTTCCTTTTTGGATTAAATTTAATTTTTAATATCTGTTGATTTTTAATTCGCGTATGCTTTCATGTATTTAGTATACCCTGAATGACAGGAGTAGGGATTTTTGTTTTGCACATGTAAATTCCTCTGACTAAATTTCATTGGTTATGCTTTCTGCATCTGCTATGAGCATAGCATGAGTGATGACTTTGCAATGTGGGAAGGAGAAAGGGGAATGTGAAAATAATTAAACTGAAAAAATCATTTTGAGTTACTCTTTCATTAGGTTTCTATTCACACTCTGTTCTGGATCCAAAGCAAGCCTTAAGCAGCTGAACCTTTTTTACTTCAGAAATTTCATTCTCTTTCTATTTGACTGTGTGAAATGGGAAATCGGGCTAAATACAAGTCGTGGGAGATCCTATTCTTCTAGAATCAAATGTATGTCTTTGTGACCTCTGTTTAAGTCCCTCCTTCAATGTGAACCTCCATACATGTTAAATGCACTTGGTTATAGTTGAATGCAGTAGTTGTGAATTGATGTGGAAGTATGTAAAAGCAATAATGGTATTTTCTAGTTGCACCTGAGATTTGCTAATGATGCATTATTGAATCTTATTTTGCTATATTCTTATACCAGGTTACTTCAGTAGGATGCAGCAGTTTCTTCTTTGTGTTTCTTGTTATGTTGCTTACTATCATTACATTTTATGCCAGATATTTTCCAAGAAGCTGGCTTACCTCTCTGGCTGCGCCCATATGAAGTGTTATGTACTTCTTCTTACACTGCTCTAATTGAAACAATTCCAGATACGGTGATTCCATGGTTACATACTTCGTATTCATTAAAATTCTACATTTTTTGTCTTTACTAATTATTAAATATGTGATTTGTAGGCTTCTCTACATTCTATAAAGAGTAGGTACCCCAACATCTCAAGTTTACGTGAATTTTTCATTGCCAAGTATCAAGATGATTCTCCAAGTTTTAAACTTGCCCAGGTAATGTATAGATTCAAAGATTCACTGTATTATTGCGGACTGACCTTGTTCATCTTATAAGATGCAATACTTAATTGAGCTTGTGTTCCTCTTTCTAAAACACTGTTTGACATTTAAATTTTATGTTTTTATTTAGTATACAGATAGAACATTCACAAAGAAAATAGCTGAATAGAAATATGTATGTCATGGTTATTTATTTTCCTATTAGTTTAACTGAAGAGGATAATTTATCCTTCTTTGTCACAAGATCCCAATCCACCTCATGATCTATGACTAATGCATATGTTAGATATTAAATTAGTCAGCCTGTTAGGTTTCTTAGGAACAAGAAACCAGATTTTCAGATTCAGTAAAGAAATAAGCACTCAAATCTTACTGCACAACGTAAGATAATACTTTAATTAAAGAAAACATAATACAGAAAACATTCTACAGCTTCCAAGGGAAGTAAATCCCTTCTACACAGGACAAGCCCTGTTCCAAAAACGAAAATACAACCCACCCACCAGGAGGAACCATTTCCTCCTTAAAAGATAACCCTCACTAAACTTAATAACTACCTCTAACCACCCCTAAACTGCCCTAAACTGCTCAACCACCCTTAACTGTCACAAAACCTCTGATTTTGAACTTTCTTCCTAACATACACCTTAAAGGTCTTATCACAACCTAGCAAACCTGGCCACCTAAGAAAATTCCAAAATACTAACTTTTCATAAATACGTAGTTTAGCATATGTACATCTGTGTTAAAAAAGGATTCTACAGACAATCCAGCATAATCTACACTGAAATTCCATATTGTTTTTATTCTCTGAAATCCCGTATTTATGACACCTGATAAGCATCCCATTACAAAATCAAATTCATGTTTTTAACCAGTGGTGTTCCTTTTTTTCTTTTCTTCTCCTAGGTAATCCTGTCTTGGATGTATTATAGTAAGTTTTCTTTCAGTACATTCAAACGTTCACTTGCAAAATGCATTGTACCGTCATATGTTACTTCTGCTGCTGCCATCTCCCATTTTTTCTCCGGCATAATTGTGTAGTGTGATTTCTTGCTGGTTTTTAATTTAAAGGGTTATCCTCCTAGACCCCTTTATCTTTTGAATGTTATTCCTTTCATCATGTAATAAATCTGTTATAGTAACAAACACCTTTATTTTATGTTAAAAATATAAAAGATAATATCATTTGATTTAATATTTCATGATTTGTTTACATGTTTTTGTTTCAGAGGAACTTCGTAGAAAGTATGGCTGGATATTCCCTGGTTTGCTACCTTCTGCAGGTCTGAAACCTTTTATTATACACATGCATACATTTTCTAAAACTGGTGTATTACCTGCTTAAATTCCAATCCAAATAATACTATTTTACTTTTTGTTATTGAATATTTTCTACCCACTTCTTATTTAAGTTTTAAATTTAATCCAGGTGAAGGATAGGCATAATGGGAACCTCTTGATGGATGAAGAAGGTCATATTATACATATTGATTTTGGTTTCATGCTTTCTAATTCACCTGGTGGTGTTAATTTTGAAAGTGCACCTTTCAAATTAACCCGAGAGCTTCTTGAGGTAAAACTGAAATTGTTTACTAGTTAATCCACATCCATACTTGAGTATCCATTAGGTCATTCAGACACTTACTAGCTTTCTTCTATGCATCTAACAGAAATAATGTGATTGTGCTAGGTCATGGATTCTGATGCCGAGGGAATTCCAAGCGAGTTCTTTGATTATTTCAAGGTAAAACATATATGGTTTTTTTCTTATACTAGCTCTAAATTTCTGATTCGGTTTCCTGCTGTAATCCAGGTTTTGTGCATTCAAGGCTTCCTTACTTGCCGTAAGCATGCTGAGCGTGTTATTCTTCTTGTTGAGATGTTGCAGGTAAATGTTAGCTCCATGTTGCCCAGTGTTGTCCAATATTTACTGTGCCTGTGTTCATCTACCAGTTCCAATTTCTCATAACTAGCTTTGTTATGAGAAATAAGGATCATACCTTCAGAATTACAAATATCAAGATTACATGTGAAGTCATGGCTATAGCTATTTATCAAAGAACTTTAATTTGAAAAAAAAATTCAAATGCATCTGGGAAGCATTACCCATTGACTCTAATCCTGTCATTCATGAAACAACCAAATATATTGAGGTAAATTGTAATTTCCTAAGAGAAAAACTTGAGTTTGAGATATCACTGCTAGATTTGTCAACTTTAGTGAACAAGTGACATACATATTCACCAAATCTCTAAGGTGACCTATGATTGATCACATTTGCAGCAAGATAAACACATGAATTGTATGCTCAAGCTAGAGGAAGAGTTTTAAAATTACACTACTAAGGATCATATCTATATAATTACAAATGTAAGGATCATATCTTTATAATTAGAAATATCAAGATCATATTTGTATTATTCTATGATCATATCTTTATTAGTAGATGGTACCGAATCTCCTCTATTATATTGATTTCTTTCTCTCAATATAAATAAACCTTATGTGCTGTCACAGAAACACAAGGTGTGAACTCAATATTTCTTTATATCTTTATATATTAACATCTACTTTTGGTTGCTAGTCCCATTCCTATATCTTTTTGTTCCCTATTTTCAAATGCCACCAGTTGCCTTTAATTCTTAAGGTGGTGTTTACATAAGGGTTGAACAACTTCACTTAATATCAATTGGTTTTGGGATGAACTTTGTCATATTACATTGAGATTCTAGCAATTAGAGGTAGATGTAGAGCTTTGTGATAGAGGACGAGAATCAAACATGCAATTCTCTGTAGATGGTGTATGTTCTAATTTTTCGGTAAAGAAATGGTGGAACAGTAATCATACAGTTATCCCATTGTATAACCATTACAGTAATCAGGCTGTGTATGCAATATTGATGAGGTTGTGGTTTAATCTAGAAAAAGATTTAAATAAAAGAAGTTTGATGTGTCCTGCATGACTGTTAGCCCATTGAATAACCTTACAGTTATCAGGCTGTGTATGCAAGATTGAAGAGGTTGGGGTTTAAACTAGAAAAAAGATTTAAATAAAAGAAGTTTGTTGTATCCTAGGAAATGTTCTTCCCTCTAATCCAAACATTCTGGAAATGAAAAACAACCTATTTGTAATAAAATATTGTGCAAAAGGCTACACATTTGCCCCATTACACTGTGCTTTTCTTTTTTTATAAAAGAAAAATTATTTTAAATTGAAGTACATGTTCAAAATTATAACTTTAAATAGTTTTTTTCTTGAAAAAAAGGAAAAGGACTAGAGTATGGTTGCTTTAGTATTTGTCTAGGAATTTAAAAACAGTGATACCTAAAAGTAGGTATTTCTAAAATGTGCGCCTCCTAAAGTAGTTGTATCAGATAAACACTTTCTGTGGCAGCTTAAGCAGCGGGTCCTACATTTATTTGATCTAAGGAGAGAGATAGAGGTTCGAGGTTTCCATATGTTCTTGCCTTGGTAGCTTGATGTAGCCTTATCTTATAATCTTGAATCATGATCTCAAGTTACACCTATTGTAGCTGATCTTTTTTCTAGTCGTGGGAGTCAATTGTGTGTGTACATTTTTTATTGTTATTATGAACGTGGATGGGCAAGCGAAGAAAAGAAAATCAGGAAATGCTCTCCTATTCATGCTTGATTTTCTCAGCTAATAGTTTTCTAATGTCGTTATTAGGACTCTGATTTCCCCTGCTTTAAAGGTGGTCCACGGACAATACAGAACCTACGAAAGCGTTTCCATCTCAATTTAACAGAAGAGGTTTTGATATTAATATTAGTTACTCTCTAGACTATAAATTTTTGTTGCCGGTTCGCTATATCTTTTTCTTTCTCCTGGCAGCAATGTGTATCTTTGGTGCTTTCCCTCATTAGCAGCAGCCTGGATGCATGGCGGACTAGGCAGTATGATTATTACCAGAGGGTTTTGAACGGGATTTTGTGAAATAGTTTGTCAATGATGATCGTTTGCTTGTTCCCTTTTGACTAAAGCTCGCACGGTGATTGTTCATCAAATAGTATTTGCTTTTATAAGTCATTGGAGGATGGTTGGTTCACTGTGGTATGGCTTTTAGAGTTTTCTGAGAAGAATTAATAGGTGGCAGAGTGCAGCCTCTATTCTCCTTGTGAGGGTGGGAGGAAGATTCTGATGCGAAAATGTACTTTCCACAGTCTTAGGCTAAATTTACTTGAGCCGAGTCTTTTGATTTTTTCATCCTTGTTTCTTGTGAATGAAGCTCTGCTGCCTGGAGAAATTGCATAAGCCCCTCAAAAATGCTGAGATGGTGCAAATTGTACAGTGATTATAGCGGGAATACGGACAAGATTTATATTGGATGTGGCTGAGTTCTGTGAAAACTGTTTGATTGGTTCATCGAAGTCTTTCCGTTGAGCTGCTCAGCATATACCGACCCGTTATCATTTTGGATATCTGTTAACATGGGCAGACCATCAGTTGGCAAACTGCTGTTATTTTTACTGATCTCAGCTGATCAATGGCGTCTGTCTTCCCAGAGTTGATTCTTCAATGCTTAAACTGGAAAATTGTTCTCAAAATTCTTTGATGATATTCAATTGTATCATGTGTAATCGATCCTGTTTACTATCACGGTGAAATTTGTTCACCTTCATATCTATCATAAAGTTTTGGTGGCATAATGTCTCTGCAGCTATATTTTACTTTGCCGTAATCATAATAAACTATATTTACAGCGTTTGATTTCACAAAGCACGCCTTTTTGGAATTATATTTTTTATTTTTACGACATTCATAGACTAGGCGAATCCAATCACTATTTAGAAGTAATGCTCCGTAACAGATTCAATGACATTAAATATTTTTTTTATTATCCATATACTAAATGGTTTTGGAATATTTCATTGAGCAATTCAACAAAAATATCTACATGACCATAAGGACTACTGCATAATAGAATTTGAATTATTTAAGTAGCTAAAGAAGGTACTGTAGGAACCATACCACCGTGGTGATAGAAATATTTAACCTTCAATCTCGAGGATAGGGAGAAGGTAGTCATCATTCTAGAAATATTTATCAAGACCTAAATCCTAGATAAAAAAATTTACACATGCTTAAATACTGTAATTAAGTCATTTTTAAACCCCAATTTTAAAATTTAAATATTACAACTTGAACCCTAAATCTTAAAATTTAAACTCTAAATTCTAAAATAAACGTGGTTGCCATTCAAAAATATTGTTTGAAGATTAAAATCACATTTTTATGTTGAAGGAAGAGTTTTAAATTTGAAAATCCATAACCAGAAACTAAAATCGTAATAAAAACATTCCTTTAAAAATAATGTTTTTCGGGTGAACGGAGTTCTCTGGTCTCTGGTAAAGAAAAGAATCACTTGCTTTTGGAAAGCTCTGAATTTTCTATTTCTCTTTATCACTTGAAAATTAATCAATAACTAATTTAAAATAAACATTATTATTAATTTTAAAAAAATAAGTAAAAGTCAAACTTGCTTTAAACTTAAAAAAGGTTACGCAGAACTCCAGCCTTCCCTACAATGATGGGCAAACGATACTGCCAAAATATATTTGTCAAGCACTGGTCTACAATTCTGATTAATACAATTAGGCCAACACCGGATTACAATTCCCACTGATTAGGATTATCACATTCATTAACAGGCAAAGCTCGATTATAGAATTGTATTAAACATCTCATATCACACCCGACACACTCAAACTTGGTTGAAGGAATCATATCTGTTTCTCAGACTGAAGCCATGAAATTGTATTCACTAGACAGTATTTAAAATGGGGAAAAAGCTACCGATGCACAGACCATTTTGGTTCAAATACTTTTCAGCTTATTCTAAAATGGCTAATAACAGTCCAAATTGTTGCCACAAACATCCAACAAAACACAACTAACTCCCAATATTCGCTTTGTCAAGAACTTTCAGAATGCTACTGTTTTTGTGCATCCTCTCGTGTAACAGCTCTAACATATATTTCGTAACAGCATCCTGAAACATCATAAATAAGCAAACAAGAACATTGAAAAGATGGAACAGGCAGAGAAATTAGAATGAATATTTCAAGAGTAGTAACATACCATAAACTAGGATATATTCAAAATACACATGGATAGGTAATGCAAAATATTTTTGTGAGCAGAATCGTCAATTAATGAGTGCTGTCATGATATTATTATTCACACATGTTCCTAGTTGCGAATAATGCCAAAGCATTGTAAAAGGTGTCCATGGAAAAAACAACTGAGAAATCAAGATTTCAACAAGCTAAAAAAATTTTACCAAAATCTGAAACGACTTAACAAATAGCAAATAATAGAATATTCTTTACACTGTCAAAAGTGATCATAATATAAATAGACCTTTAAACAACTATGCAAGTAGCCCATTTTGTTCAATTCTTGAGTTGCTAACATTTGAGTGCACAGAATATACTCAGGAGGAAATATGTCCTATTGGCTCGGACACAAAAAAATCATGTAACAATGACAATATTGAAAAGCCCAAAGTTACACACTCAAGGGTATAAAGAGTACTGCGTCCTTTTTTCCAAAGTTGTTATTTCAGAAAAAAAAACATTTCATAAAGTACTTTTCATAATCTATCATATTCACTAATCCAAATTTAGTGAAGTAATCAGGTTTCAGTAATCAAACTGCAAAGGTAATGAGGCATGCTGTATTTCCAAATCACCGAGGGCAATGTCTAAGCCAAACAACAAATCTGGCTCAGACCATTTCCAACTAAGTTGTTGAAAGCTTGATGTCATAGAAACCAATTTTAAACACAGATTTGAACAATTTTTTTTCATTGAAGCTTACCAATAAAAAAGATTCCCTTATGTGCATTTAGCTGGTTAGTTTAGTTTGGAAAACATCACCAAGACAACTTCAACTCAAGCGCACCCTTCTCAAAGAACTAGAAAAGACTAAATCATATAAGAACTTACAGTATCTTATCAGATAAAACTTAATCAAATTCTCAACTTAAGCAATTACATGGATATTTTCTGAAATTGCACAAACTTAGAATCATCGGAAGTATTGATTTTGGAAAAAATTCACATGTCACTTACCTGCTTTGAGAACCTAATAGAAAGAAATGAAAAACCATAATCTATGTTTTGTTCAAAATTATTATGGTTTTCAAAGTTAGTCTATTGGGACTACAAGGACAAATTTAACATTTAGAATGTGTGTGAATGCAATAAGGCCAACAAATTTGAAATGAAACAAAAACAGTATTCGAAGATATGAGTCCTGTTCAAATGATTTAGCAACTACCAGACTTTAGATTCCAAACTACTTCCAAAGCACATAAACTGTCACAACAAAGTCCAGCTCATTAATAAGCTATTTCAATACCTAAAAGATAATAATAAAGTACTACTCAGTTTCATTTCTCAAATCAAAGTCTTTCAACTTCCATTCACAAACCACAATACCACAAAAAGACCCTCACTCCTTCAATCAAAATCAGAGTTAAAGACATATACCTGCTACAACAACAACCGTGAGAACATCCCCAATTCTTTTGAGCTGTTTTACACTTTTCTTATACGATTTGAATGGTTTCAGAATTGAATCTTCAGCTAAGAGCTGCAACAAAATCCAAGCGGTAAAAATGGATGCACAAGCAAACAAATGTGCCAAAACAGATGAGCACGTTAACTTCTACAACGAATTCGCAAAAGCTAAAAAAAACATTTAAAAAACTACAAAATACTTTCTGTTTCTTTCAACGATACCACAAATAGGAAATGACAAATTCGTGGAGAGGGGATCAAATCACATTTCAGAAATTTGCCTAATCCCGAATGCCAATATTTGTTTACAAAATGAATACATCAAAAGAAAACTCTCCACTTTTACTGACTAAGTCGAGAATGAGGTCTTCTTAAACCCTAATTTGTCTATTGCCAAATTAAATCAAAGTAATTACAAGTAGAAATAGGTGATCCGGATGCACGAAATTACTTGAATCGTGAAAAACAATAACAAATCTAACAATAATAAAAAAAAAACGCCTTACAGCTTTTTCACGAGGGCCAGGCTCAACGTGGAATCGACGGCGCGGAAAAGAAGCGGATTCTTCGGTCTTCTGATTTCACAAAAAGGATTTTCAGTATAAGATAAAGGAAAACAGAATCGTTAAATGAAATTAACAATTATATTCAATATGTCATAGAAATGAAGTATAGGAATACCTGGGACTGAGTTACAAAATGGGAAGCAACGGCTGTTTTGTTCAACAAGAATGCCATTTTCTCGAAGCGCTTTGAGATGAAACGACGTCGGTCAAGTTCAGAGCTCTGAGAAGCAAAAAATCGAAGCTATGTGAATAGAGAACTCAAGAAATCTGTAACTACCCCCACTCAGATTCCAACTCCTCCCTATTGGATCAATTTTGTTATTATCACTTAATTATTTCTTTAGCTCTGAATTATACTTTTTAATGACTTGATTTTCTTTGCTAATTTTTGCCAATTAATGACTTGATTATATTATTTAACTTCCATACAATATTTTCACCTTCAAAAATAATATCCCTTTTTTGTACCATTCGTTTTACTAACAAGATTTACTAGAATCTCATTCAATTTCAATGAAATTAAACAAAAAAATATAGAAATCTTCAATCATTCAGTACAAATCTTGCAACCTATTTAGAAATTCGATGGAGTTACGTCGACATGCTCTTTTACTTCCTACTTTTTAATTATTAAATATTTTTAAACCGTCACATCAAAATATTTATTGATTTTTTTAATGATAGACTATTTTTGCAATAAATTAAAATTAAAAAGGTAACTAAACTTTTGATATTGGTTGTACACGATGTAGGTCTAAGGTGTTTTCATATATCAATCGACTTGAGGTATTTCTTTGTAATAATTCATTAAATTTAAAGTTTTCCAATTTGAGTAAAAGTGATGGAGTATTTTATGTAGACCAAACTCATAAAAATCTTTAACTTATTAAGTTTATGTGATATGTTAACAAATCATACACTTTTTTTATACTAGGTGTATCTCTAGGATCAAATAACACAAAATGAACACATTTTACATGCATGGAAAACAAGTTAGAAGACGTGGATGAAGAGTGGGTCATAAGCGGACATGTGAGAGTTTAGGCTTAACATGGGCGTGTTAAGCAAGCTTTTATGTCTTTTGGGCGAACTCAACCTTTTTCAAGTGAGTAAATACTTCACTTCTACTTTTGATGCATCTTTCATCCCTTTTTGTATTCTTCTCATCATGCTACTACGAGTGTAATTACCAGATTGTTACCTAAGTCATCATATATCTTCATTATTTATGCATTTAATAGATTGCACATGCCTACTTGAGTGTAATCACCTTATTGTTAACAAAGTTACAGTATAATTTTAATTTCCTAAGTGGGCCTTGGGCCATTTGCGTTTCAGTCCTTAATATTTTGAGTGTTTCATCCTACACCTCCAACATCTCATCCTGCACCTCCAAAAATTCCATTTTTAACCTTCTGACATCCTGCACCTCCAACCTTTTTAAAAATTTCATTTTTAACTTTCTTCTCTTTCTAATTAAAGAAATTTTGTTTTCTTCTCTTTTTCTTTTAAAGACACTCTACACCACCTCAATGATAATTCTAATTTAATTTAAAATTTAAATATTATTTAATATAA